TTCTCCATCCACCACGTTCACAGAAGAGGAACCAACTTGGTTCTTGCCTTTTGGATTATTGTCAAGTTCTTGAGTCCTTAAGGACTCTTCAATCCGTAAATGGCTTCCAAGTTGAGTTAAATTCAATTCCTCTTTGTTATGTTTCAAATTGTGTTTAAAATCTTTCCAGGAAGGTGGCAGTTTGTCAATGATCACAGCCACATCAATGGCTTCATCCATTTTCAGATTGTGTTGAGCAAACTGTCCCAGGATCCTTAACATTTCATGGTATTGTTCCATAACAGGCCTGGAGTCAATCGTCTTGTAACCCATAAACTTACTAACAAGAAACTTCTTGCTAGAAGCATGTTCAGCCATATATTTGGATTCAAGAGAATCCCATAGTTCTTTTGCGTATTCGAAATTTTGATAGATATCAAAAATAGAGTCAGACATACCATTGAGAATATGACCACGACATATGTAATCATCATTTTCCCACTTTGATCTTCTTCTTGTTGCCTCGAAAGTTTCATCTTCAATAGATTCTGGTAAGACTGGCATGGGTGTACTCAGAACATACACCACTTTTAGAGTGGTAAGGAGAAACTTCATCTTCTTCTGCCATCTACAAAAATCTTGCCCTTCAAACTTGTTCAGTTTTTCAAACTTACTTGTCATTTCCTTCACAGAATCACCACTTGCCATGATCACAGTTTACTTCGATTTTTGTTAGAAATATGGTTTAGTGGCACTTGGAAATCTGAGAATCGTGATAATCACTTTCAAATCGAAGTATTTGGGTGGTACTCCCAAATCCTCAATTGGATAAGACTCAGATCAAACCAAAGAGAAAAGAAAGAGAGAGTGATATGGTGTAATTTCGTGAGTACCAGAAAAGTGACTAAAATTGGTTATAAACCTTCCTTATCTGAAAAACTATCAAAACTGTCATATAACAGTTTTTTTTGTCAACAGTAAAAACTGTCATAAATCCGGGTTTTGTATAATTATTAATTCAAAGTCAAAACCGGGTCAAATATTCAAAATTTGGATTTTCTGATGCATTTTTAATACAGGGGCTCTGCCCCTTGGACCCCAGCCAGGGGCTCTGCCCCTTGGATTCAAAGTCGACCCCAGCTAGGGGCTCTGCCCCTTGGACCCCGCCAGGGGCTGCCGCCCCTTGGACCCTGCTCCCAGGGGCGCTGCCCCTGGAACCCCGTTCGTTCAGGGGATTCACCTCTAAATGACAATATACTTTAATACTTGATCAAACTTAAACATGTGTGTACTCCACATCTTCCTTACTTGTTTAATATTTATCAGGATCCATTTTAGTCAACAAAGTAATCCTTATTACACTTAAATAACATTGATGATAACAAATCACCAACAGTTCTTACCCTAGAATCTGGTGATAGTATGCATGAGTTGTCTTTCTGCTTGTATTCGGATTGTACTTTTAGAGTTGTCTTATGCCAATTGCCTACCAGGAACTATTAGTAGCTAAGTGTAGGGTCATCTCTCACATTGGGTTCGAAGTGTCCAGTATTATCTCGATTATGACCAAAGGCGGTTCAGTTGCGTTGCGTGGAGGTCGGTAGGTAGGGTCCAGGGAGTAGCCCTCCACCATTATTAGGGTTTGGTGGCTCTGGTCTTGGTACTTGGGATAGCTTTTGGAAGCATCAAGGGAAGTGGTCTATCACCGAGGGAAGGGGGGTTGCTCTAAGCATTAGTTACTAGGACCTTAAGGGCATTAGTTGGAGCCTAGGGGATTACCAATATCGGGATGCAGGAAGTGTTCACCTAGTATTCGGTAATCATGTGGTATTTGGAATAGGCTACTGATGGATCGCTAGTGACACAAAGGAGATGGTAGTAATCATGCCAACTATGTAAGGGAGCAAGGAATGGAAATCCTCGAGTTTTTCATGTGCAGTAAAGACTTAGATAAAGCTAAGTGGGGGAGAAGAAATCATGTTAGGGAAGCGGCAGCGGTTTTGGAACCGGGATAACTTTTGCTCTCCTATCAGGAAGGAGGACGGCCCAGGTGGCTGTATGAATTGAGGAAGGGTGGGCTGGAAGTTCGGAAAACTTGAAAATTGTGAGAATCACATGCTTGACTATGGGTTAGTCGTAGCATCCGCTAGCAGCCAGTCGTGTGGAACGGTGTTGTCAGACTACCGGATGGCCGTAGCATTCACCAATGGTTAGATTGTAAGACTGCGGTATGGCCTGTAGCATTAGTTTAGTGAGACTGCGGTGTGGCCCGTAGCAATCGTATGTGAGGATAGTAAGACTGCAGTATGGCCTGTAGCATTAGTTTAGTAAGACTATAGTATGGCCCGTAGCAATCGTACGAGAGTATAGTTAGGCTACGGTGTGGCCCGTAGCACTAGTATAACAAGACTGCGGGGTGGCCCGTAGCTTTAGTTGGCCAGCAGCGTAGAAGTGTTGTAAGACTATGTGGGTGGCATGTAGCATTCACTAGTTGGCAGAGCAAGTACAGTAAGGCTACGAGGTGACCCGTAGCATTCATCGGCCCCTATTCTCTAGTGCGAATATGTCAGGTGTGTGATCTACTGGCAGGGTTTTTCAGATAGTTAAGTTTAGGATGGGTCAGCCGCCCAGATGTTAGTGGGAAACATTATGTTTGGTTCCGGAAGACGGTAGGTCATTGGAGACCAGGAGTGGCGTATGAATGCGGGTAAGTCGTGGCTTTCATTAGTAGCTTGGTTCACGGAGAGTGGGCGAGGGGCTCGTATCTCCGAGGTAACATGGGGGGGAAACCGGTATCCTGGGTAATGGTAGATCAGTTGAGACCAGGGCAGTCTCGGTTCATCCGGTCGGCAGATGGGATTCAACAAGACTTCAGGCATGAATGATGGTAAGGGATCCAGCGTGTTAAGCCGTGAACTGATCGGATGATGCTAAGCTCCTCATCACGGGATCAAATGAACTCAGAGTAAAGAATTTGGCTCGGGGGCGCTATTCTCGTCTGAGCCTTAAGCGCAGCAGAGAGGGATCTGCTACCCGGCGGATTGTCTGAATTCTCACGATTGGGTGGAGCTTTTAGTATTTGGGCGTTGTATGGGGGTTATTCCATAAGTATGGGTATAATGGCCAGCACTAGGAGTGGCTAGGAGTGCGGTTTTAGTAGAGGATCAGTCCTCGAAGGAAATTGGGAAGGTTGTTTCTTGTGGAAAGTGCCTTAGAAGGGCCAGTGACAGTAGAGGGTAAAAGGGGAAAACCCCTTGCGAATCAAGTGCAAGTGTATCAGTAGTATCGGTATGTTCACCGGTTCAATAAAAATGTTTTACTCAAAGGTAGTAAGGAACGGGTTATTCCGAAGATGACATCTTCAAGGTTTGACCGAATGGGCGGAGAGTGTACCCAGTGTTAAAGTGGTGACCAGATGGTAAGGTAGTTAGCTGTGGCAAACTTCGAGGATGAAGTCTAGTTTAAGTGGGGGAGTGTTGTAACACTCAAGATCTGAAAGGCCAAGAAAGGAAAGAAAACCCTAAGTCAAAGGGTGAACTCGTCGAGTCCAAGGAGGAA